GTCTCTGTCGGTTCAAATCGGTACGCAAATCTTGTTATAACACAATTTAGATATAAAGCTGGTGGTAGTGATTGTCTGAAGTTGTAGCGAAGTATGGAACACTACTTCCAGTGAATCGTGATGTAATCTTACGTTTCTGTGACATCTTCGGTTTTTCAAGTACACTACATTCTGCTACCACAAAAGCCGCATCTCATAAGACTTTGAAGCAAATATCATTTCGGGTTTCATATAACACCTCCTTTATTTGATAGTAATTTTTGAGCAACATGCCTGAAATGTTTTTCAATAGGAGTTTATTATTTCAATTCGTTTAAAACAGTATATTTTGAAAAAAACGGTAAAAATAAGATAATAATATTTACCTTAAAGAGCTGTATTAGCTCAATTATTGTAGCTGTATTTTACACCTTTTATACACCTTCAATTTTAACTTTTAATTTTTAATTTTATACACCTTCAATTATTGTGAAGATCATGCGTCAAATTTCCAAATTAAAAAAGGCGTTGAACTTACGGAAAGCTTTCAGATAACTGCTTCTGAATTACCAGATTGATTTTCAAAATCTTTTAACCAGTTGATGTTGGCAGAATAGTTAACGGTTATAGATATAATGGATGGTTTTCTTAGGATCTGTCGACTGGGGCAAAATGGCCGCATTGATGTTCCAATTTTTTATATCCTCTACAAATCGGAATTTAATGAAACATGCCAGGCGATTTTGAAGACCTACCGTCAAATTCGTTGAATAATTGGATTTTATTTATTATATTAATGATCTCTGTTTGACTTTTAACAGAATTTTGTGCTACCAAGATAATATTACTGGCCCCAACAATTCTGTATTAACAGGCTAAATCTAAGCAAAACGTCCATCAAACAGTTTAACAAAGTCGAACTTTTAGTATTTTCGGATTTGTAAAATTTTATTAAAAAGCTCCTCAATTTTAAATTTTTGATTAACACGCCAATATATACAATAATACAGATCAAACTTGTTCTATCGCGGACATAACCGCTGTTTCATCGGCCATCAGACTATAAATTGTGAATCCTTTATACTTTCGCATAGCTTACAAAATGTTACATGAGCAAAGTCTTGTTGACTTTTCTTTCAGGTGAAAAGCCAATTTTGCTTTGAAATTTGCAGAAAAATTCATTTCTTCAATCTCAGAGATTTTTTCGCTCACAGTTTTATTAGCACGCCAAAGTTTGAACTATTTTTACCTTTTTCACGAATGGCTAGGTCTTGCGTTCCAGGAAGAAAAATTTAGTAACCCAGTAAAATAATTAACAAAGCGGAAATAACTTTAATAAACAAATTTACATAATGGCACTTAACAAATACAAACTAAATAAGTCCACTTTGCACATTTTCTAAATAATTAACAATGTAAATCACTAAACTAGGGTTGTTAACCGGAGGATTTCGTGCAATTCCGGAAAAACAACATTCTTTCGTAAGGAGATTGAGAACACGGAATTACATTTTTTCGTACCGAATGTTACAAAACATTTAAAATCGCCGATGTTCATTTTGCAAAAGCCACTTCCGAAATTTAGCATTTCGCAAGTTGACATACGAAACAAAACTATTTTGCAACATACGAAAGTAGCGGTTTCGGAAGTCGCCCTTGCAAAACAAACATTTTCGCCAAACGACGTTTTGAAGTCTATAAAGAAAATTTGTTTGCCAGACTGATTTTAATTGTAAAAATTAACATCTTTAAATCCCAAAATGTTTATAATGAATTTTTATTTTCAGTATAATAACTATTAAATTTTTATGGTTTTATATTTAGAAATATTGATAAAAAATAAAACTTCTTTCGAAACGAAAGTATTTCGGATCACAACATACGAAAGAATTCTTAACGGAAATAAACTTACGAAACGTGCCATAATAAATATATACAACGATATTTTTTGAACTCATTACGTATATTAAAAATAAGAATGATGGGTAGGAATATACATGTTTTTTTTTTTAAAGCATATGAAATATTTGAAACAGGTTCGAATATGCTTAAGCAAATAGTAAAAAGAGGCTCAAAAATATGCTTTAGCTTAAGCATATTTCTGATAAAATATACCTATTTCAATAATTTCTAAAAGTGTGCACGTTACAAAAGTTCTAGCAGATTTTAAAGGTATGTAGAGTCCTGTTTGAATACGCTTTTCGAAGTATAGATTTTAGAAAAAATTGTTTTTTAATTTTAATAAGATATAAATTTGAGTATAAGATTGTATAGTTCAATCAGTTAGATACGTGATAATTCGCCGCAGAGATCCGGGTTCGCATCCCGCAGCCATTGTAACTTTTGTTCATCAAACTCTTTTTACTTAAGATAGCATTTTTTGACATCCATGTTCTATATTACAGATCTTTCGTCACCTTCACAATAGTGACAACCTCTCTTCTGTTAGTTATTCTTTTAAGATTGAGTTCATTGTGCTTAATTCAACACGTTTCCCGTGCTTTACTAAGTTCTACTTAAATTATGATGAAATGTACGTAAAACAACTTTTTCAAATAATATAAATCATTTTGCTTTAAATCTTTTAGTTTTTGTACTTGACATCTGTCCTAAAAACTTTGTAATAATTTCTAGCTAACTCTGAGTCTAATATAACCATTTCTGAATATAATTTCCCTAAGGCTCCTACAGCCTATTGTGTTCCATTAAAAGTAACTAGTTTTTGAGTCCAGATATTAATTATAAGCATCTAAAGGTTCACATTACTATTCATTTTCCTGATATATAGATTCCTATTTGCATACGTATCTCTTTCTGTAAATTCTGTTTTATATAGTTTCTTAATTATATATTAAATAAATATTACTATTCACTTAGTAGAATGAACGTATACCTCATTCAGTTAAGACATTTGGCCGCGTAGACCCAGGTTCACATCCCGCTGTTTCACATATATTTCTTCTCTTTTTACTCTTTCTGATATCATTTACCTTTAGAGAGATCTCTCGTTCTTTATAATAAAGTATTTAATTGTTTATCACACATCCTCTTTATACTTTTTAAAAAGAAAGGCATACTGTTTATCTGTTCATTGAGAGTCCAACTTAACGGGATTTTACTGTATATATATGTATATATATATATATATATATATATATATATATATATATATATATATATATATATATATATATATATATATATATATATATATATATATATATATATATTAGGTATATTTGTATAAACATTTGAAGAATCATTTGACAACATTTTTTTATAATTTTATTATTTATTATTTAAACTGTTAACAGTTAATATCTTAAATATATCGTAACATAAAATCTTTTGCGTCTTTTTCGTAACTACACATTCCGGAATGCTTTTTCCGTAAGGAACTATTTCGTAAGTATTCTTACGAAATGATTTGTTTCGCAAGTTTTCTTTCGCAATTCTTTATTACGGAATTTTATTTACTATTTATATTTTCGTATAGCGCGTTACGGAATGTGCATTTTTGCATGTGCAACTTCCGCAATAACAATTCTATTACGGTAGATAAAGATGCGAAATTTTCGCAAGTTTTGTTTTTCGGCGAACAACCCTACACTAAACTAATAAAGTATTTGTCAGATAATCCACAAGAAATTAATTACCAATTAGAGAAGAGTTGTAAATATTTTAAATAAAACCGTATTATTCGTCATTTTTTTTGTTTGATGGTGATTAAGTAGCTGGATAACGGACAATCGCAATGATGGTCAGGCAATCACACTAAACGATACACCCCTATTATTCTTGAAATTTTTTTTAGAAAAAATCAATTTTTTAAATATTGATATTTTTAGTTCATAGAACATTTTTATGATTTTTTTTTTTTTTGTAATAAAATAAATAAGTATCATATATAAAAATGTGTGTACTTTGGCCATAATAGGATTTTAAGGTCCTTAGCAACGCATTATTAAACAAGAAAATTTTAACTTGTTTAAGCTTCTAAACAACATTATCTTATTTATACTACAGCTTTTTGTTTATTATGTGCTTTGTTTTAAAAAGTTTTTTTTTGGATCATGCTTCTCTTTGTAATGTAACGAACTTTTTCCTTGTTTTTTGCATTCTTCTCAAAACGCCATTTTTAGCAAATGTGTCAATTTTAAAACATGATATTTTCAGATTGATATGAATATGAGTTGTTATATATTAAAAGGGCGGAGGTCTACAAATATAAACTTTCGGAAAACTGAACCAAAATTTCCTTCGTATTAAGTTTTTGTTAATGGTTTAATATTTTTTTTTTTTGAAGGTGAAAAACATTATCTTCGAAAAAAAAAAAAAATTATTAACAAAAATTTACTACGGAGAAAATACAGTTTTTTTTAGTTTTCCGAAAGTTTACATTTTTGGACTTCCCCCCTTTTTACGATTAAATGACTTTTATGTTTAACTTAAAATTTTCAGGGCGCTCGTGTTATTGTTTGAACCAGAATTACAAATAAATTTCGTGTCAAAGTATATTTAATATCTTTTTTTTCTAGCCTTTTTTGTTAAAAGAATTTATAAATCTATTAAAAAATCACTTTTAAAATGTTCTATGCATTTTCAATGCATGGTTCTGGTTCATAACCTTTTTACATCTTTTAGGAACATCATGTAAAAACTTTAGAAATAAATAATTTTAGAAATAGAAATATTTTAGTTTTGAATTATTCCCACCTTTGCGTAATTTTTATGGAATAAGGGAGGCAAAAATAGAGAAATCAAGATTTCATATTTAGAAAAATATTAGCATTCGTTTCAACTTGTGCGATGGTTTTTTCAATTTTGCTTCGATAATTTCTACAGTCTTGGAAAAAAGTTTAAGACCACCATCCGGAAATATAAATAATATCCGAAATTCCGGAAATATCCGAAAAAAGATAATCCTTGATACTTTGACACATTAACTAATGCTTGGTTTTGAGAACTTGGTTTCGACGATAGATGGTTAGGAGAATAATGTACAATAAAAACAAACTGCATCAACTTTATTTAGATTTTTATGTTAAACAAAATATATAATTTTTATTAATTCTGGTCCCATGAAGTAAATCACTTTAATCAACAAATAATTTACCAATTACAATTCACCTTTAAGTTACATTAAAATATAGTGTACAAAATAATCAAACTGCGTTCAACATAACTTTATGATATTAAGTGATAAGTTAAACGATAAGTGTATATTTCGTAAAACTAAAATCAAAAAATTGAATTTGTTTAATTCAGATGTTAGCATGCTTTAAAATTAAATGCTTGACAAGTGGTTGCATTTACTTGTATCATACATCTGCTATTTATAAGAATGCAAATTTAAAGACTAATACCGCAAAAAAACTTGCAACCCAAATTCTCTTCTTTACAGGGCTATAACTGTTGTTGATTACGATATTGATTAAATGTTAAATTTACTATAGTTATATTATAGCAGATGTTAGGTATTAACATTAAATGTGTTAGCGTTATTATTCCGTCATCATTAGAGACATAAACTAATTTATGAATAACTGAGCAAAATTAGTTGATGATATTAGTTTTTTTTTTTCCATTATTAATGAATATTTCAGTTGAAAAAGCAACAATAACAAAAAAGTCAACTTTCAAAATTTCAAAGACAGTTGCAGTTCGAACAGATTTATAACATTCAACACATAGTTAAATATTGATTTGTTAAACTTTAAAACTATGTTGTTGTATAACATCTTAATTAAATAAAATCATATAAAAAAGACAAAAAAAAAAAAAAAAAAAAAAGAAAAAAATTTAATAAACCAGTTTTATAAAACTATGCACTTAAAAATTTAAATGTCTCGTGGTTTTTTTATGTTTACAATAAACGAAGTTATTTTCAGCTACTTTTATTATCTAAATATCTTATTCATCCGTCACGTTCCAGATAACCTTTCACTTCAGTTTGTTCATATAAACCAAGACCCTAATTAAATAAAAGTATATAAGTAAAATATAATTATATATATATATATATATATATATATATATATATATATATATATATATATATATATATATATATATATATATATATATATATATTTCTTTTAACTAACAATACTAACATATATTTTTTAAAGCTTTAAAATTAACGAGTTTTCTATCGTTTTTCTGAAAAATATGCTCCGACATAAACGACAGAGTTTTAAAACATCGTTTTAAAACTCTGTCGTTTATGAAGATGTTAAGATGATTTTTATTTTATTTTGTGGATTTTTTTATTGGTATCTTTTCACAATGCGTGCCTCATATGTATTCTTATTCAAGAAATTTTATTAGAATTAATGTAGAAGCAGTTTTACTTTTAAAAATATTTTGATAAAACTGTAAAATTGACACAAAGCGAGTTAGTTTTTTTCAACATTGAAATAATGCAATTGATGTTAACAGAGGAGGAAAAATTCAAATAGCCAATAGTCAAAACCTGATACTGTGTCAATAAATCAAAAAATCATTATCCTACAGAAAAATAAAGAACTATAAGTAAACCGAGGTAAAAAATACAAATGGTATTTGCAGAACTACTATTTCTGAAAACAAACTTACATTTGTATTTTTAACTTAGGTTTACCTATAATTCTTCATTGCTCAGTAGGATAATGATTTTTTGATTTATTTACCCAGCCTGTGTCACATGTCATAAAAAAAAAAGTTTAACTACAGCCAAAAGCGAATTGATGTGAAAGAAAAAAATCCGGCCGGCATTCCGGTACATCCCTAGTTATTAGCATTAATAAATGAGAAATAATAATAATAAAAAAAGATTAAAGTTCATATTGATTGTTAAAACTTATTGACTTCAAGGTATGAATAGTTAATTTTCAAAGTTTTTAAAATAAGAATGATGTTAAAAAGAGTGCTTTATAGAAACCAAGAAATGAATTGAAGAAATTTTTTTTATTTGCAAACTTATTGAGAGAGAGAAATTATTAGACTAACACAAAAGATGAGACTTTTTTTTAATTTAAAATATGAATACAAATTAATATTAAAATAAAAATGATGAAAATAATGTTTTGCATTATTTTTATTTTGCAAATAAAATTTTATTAGAATATTTACACTAAAAATAATAATTTAAATTCTTTTCATAAAATGTTTCTTCTAAAAATATAAGAACCTCTTAAAAAACAATTACATAGATTAAAAAAAAATTAAGAGCACCTGAAAGTTACTCATGCTAGTCAATCTCTGCAACTCATTTAGAATGTGTTGCTTTTCGGCATCAACACGATTGAAATTTTCTTTCAGTTTGTTATTTTCATTAAAAAGTCTTCTAGTTTCTTCTTTATACCTTTCTACCTCTGCTTTAGCATCTTTCAGTTCACCGAAAGCATTAAGAAGTTCACGCTTAGTCATCAAGAAATCCTCTTTATAAGCTATTGCCTAAATATATACAATAAGATCAATCTTTTGGAAACTGAAACAAATTTGTTAATAATATTAATTTAGATAATAAAAAAACCTACTTGCTGCTTTAATGCTTCAATGTCATCCATGGATAAACTTTCTTCCCGTTTTGGTACAGCACTTGGTGGCAAAGCTATATATGATGGAACATTAGCCTTTTCCTTTAATGCAAAATGCAATTTTTTCAACTCATCTTGGGTTTTATATAATCGATCTTTATACTCGTCACGTTCAATAACTACTTTGTTGTAATCCTTTTGCCACTGATGGTTAACACTCACTAACTAAACAAACAATAAATATAATTATATAAAAAAGCATAAATAAATGTGTGTATGTGTGTGTCTATATGTGTGTGTGTGTTTATATATGTAGAAAATGCAGGGAGTCTACATACATTAACTGATTTAAATAGGTAGAACATACAGGGAGTGAACATACATTGACTGACTTAACTAGGTAGAACATGCAGAGAGAGAGAGAACATAAATCGACTGACTTAAATAGGTAGAACATGCAAGGAGTTTCTTAGTCAGCATCTTAAACAGCGTCATTAACAACAGTAGGTCTAACATTCTATCTCTCAGTGGACTCTCAGTAATTGGACTGACCTTGTTACCTCTACCAAGGAATAGGCAGAACTATTTTCAAAAAAATTTACTTCAAATTCGACTTTTAAATCTTACTGTCATTCTCTTCCTTCTATTCCAATTCAACAAGTTAACACATTGTTAGACATTCATATCACTCCAGCTTCTGTTGTTGAAGTCATATCTCAATTAGACTCTTCTACAGCTTGTGGTCCATTCAAAATTCCTGTCTTAGTCTTACAAAATTGTTCTCCAGAACTCTCTTTAATTTTTTTAAATTGATTTTAAACTTGAGCCACCTGCTAAGTTGCATCTCTTTTTCTATATTCAAATTATATCATTGTCACTGCTTAAAGGAGCTTTCACCTCTAGTTCCATCAACTAAAACTTATTCTCTCATTCATTCAACAGTCTCGTTTTCTTAATGTATCCAGCTGATCGTTATCAAAACAATCTAGATCTTTCTATATTTATGAAAATTAATATACTCTATGAGTCATCTACCCTTCATCTTCTAGGATTAACTCTTACTTCCTATCTTTCTTGGAAACCAAATCAAATCGATTGCAAAGTTAGCATCTGGTGATCTCTTTATCATGCTCGCCTCTTTCTTACTCCGGATTCTATTCTTTATCTTTTCAAATCTCTAACCCAACCTTGTACGGATTACTGTTGCCTGGAGCATATCTTCAAATAATCCCCTTTCTCTTTTAGATAAGGTGCAAAGATGCATTGTAAACATAGTTGGACCTGCTCTTGCAGCCAACCTTCGACCATTGTCACACCATTTTAATATTGCATTTTTTCTTTTTTCAAAGAGCTAGCGTTTCTTTTGCCTTCTACTAAAATTCATTCTCATGTTACTTGTCAATCAATTAAGTCTCATCCCTTTACTGCGATGGTTCCTATATGCTCCAAAAATTCTTATTTATCTATTTTTTTTTTTAGAATATCAATTTTTTGGAATTCGCTTCCTTGCATTCTTGATTCATAACTTTGATTTATATCATTCTTGATTCATATAGCTTGTAATCTTTCAAGTTGTCTGAATCATTATCTTGCTTTATAAACTTCATCTTTTCTCTTCCAGTAACTTTCAACTCTAATAGTGATTGCTCTCAGCCTTGTTGGAAGTGGATGTTTAAAAAAAAAGAAAAGAAAGAGTTTTGCTACATCGATTGAGGGTTTTTATTCAGGCAATTAATCAATTTAAAGAATTTTTTCAAGTTTTCCAGTATTCAATGTTAACTTTTTTAAGAAAAAGACCTAACCTGTTTACATTTTATGGTAAAAATTCAAGACGATTTATATATATATATAGCCTACTAGATGGCGATTTTCGAGGACATGTTATTTTTGTTCTCATTCTGTTGTTTTTTAATTACTTTTTTAATACTATTTTTATCATATTTATATATATTTTTTAATTTTTATTTTATTTGTATTTTTATTTATACATATTTAAATTTATTATTTTATTATAAAAATATATTTTTTATATTAACTTTTGTTATTTTTATTTATTTTATATTATATTTCATTTTTAACTTTATCTATTTACAAAAACGATTAATTACAATAATAGAACCAAATATAAACCTTGCCTTAACCCTAACCCTAAGCCTGACCTTGATGCCTGGCCTAACCAAACCCTCAGTCGATGTAGCAGCACTCCCTTGCGAGTCAGGCTATTTGTCCGTCGATGTATGTACTTTTTGTTATCTCTAAAAGCTTCTTATGGGTACATTTGAAAAAAAAAAAAAAAACATGCTTACAGGGACAAAGAATTAACAGGTACACTAAAATATCCCCGATAACGCTAATGTCCCGGTAAGTGTTAGTTTTTTGTAAAATCTGTCTCCTCGTAAGTGCTAAACTAGGTGTGTATATATATATATATATATATATATATATATATATATATATATATATATATATATATATATATATATACATATACATATACATATACATATATACATATACATATATACATATACATATACATATATACATATACATATATATATATATATATATATATATATATATATATATATATATATATATATATATATATATATATATATATTAGAAGGCAAATTTGGTAAATGAAAAGTCGCATGAGATCGGGTTTAGATAGGAAGAACAAGCAATAATAACTTGAACAACAACCATCGTATAGTATTTGAACAAACATTGTATTATTTGAAGAAAAGAGAACAATTACTGCAACGTGAGCAAGGCTTAAACTTCATTTCATTGAATTTTTGAATCTATTCTAAAAAATGAAGGACATCATTAGAAAAGCACAAATATGACAAAATCACATAAACAAAAAATATGGAAAGGGAATGAAATCAAGAATACAAAAATAACCAATAAAGAAAAACAACATTAGCAGATGTTAATTTTGCAATAGATAGAATAAATGGTTTTTGTGAATTAAAGTTGAGGAAAAAATAATGTTGCCATTCATCAAAAGAAAAAGGAATGTTGTCACTCATCAACAGAAAAAAAAAATGTTATTATTTATCAACACAAAAAAGAATGTTGTCATTCATAAACACAAAAATGTCAATAATAATTAGCAGTAAAAAACAGATTTTTGTTTGAGTAAAAATTCACAAGCCACTGCAAGCCCAAGCTGGCAAGATTCGATAAACGATTGTTGAATATTTTAGAGTGTATTAAAGAGTATCCTGGACTTTCACATGACAAAAAAAGTGACAAAAAAAGTTAGACTTGCATTTGTTAATGGACAGTGACATATATATATATATATATATATATATATATATATATATATATATATATATATATATATATATATATATATATATATATATATATATATATATATATATATATATATATATATATATATATATATATATATATATATATATATATAATATATATATATATATATATATATATATATATATATATATATATATATATATATATATATATATATATATATATATATATATATATATAGTGGAAAATAACGGCCAGTCAACGACTGCCTGAAATGAGACATTTTCATTTTTTATTTCCATTTCATTAAGCGATTTCTTATAGTATTAAGTATTCAGTTTAAATTTTTTAAATATTTTATAAACTTTGTTTTGAAATTTAAAAAAAAAAAACACCACATTACTTGGATATTAGCAAAATTAATTTAATTGAATGAAAATCTGTGCATGATAGAGTTATTTTAAACTATTAACATTTGCAAGTAATTTGAACATTAGTTAAGTGTGAGTTTAAATTTTAAAAAATGCATTGATTCAAAAGTATTATTTTTAAACGAATATGAGTCTGTTATTTTTTTAATATTAGGTTATTTTTGTGTGTATTGTCATGAAGAACACTAAGATGAAAATTTAAATAAAGAAAATAATAAAATTTTGACTGTTTAAAAAAAAAAACAATTGACTATCAATTCCATGTGTTAGCCGGTAGAATTGACTGCTTGACTTCGATTTCTTATTTTTTTAGTTCTATATATATAAAAATATATATATACATATGTATATATCAACCCTCGGAATTAGAGTCGGCAATGCTGACCTGAAAGTGTTTTGAAACATAGAAAAAGGTTGGCAAAATATTGCCGACCTCATTTCTATATTTTATGGTTAGACCTTTGTATCAAATAATTTTTGTTGATCTGATGCCGACCTCAAAAAGATTAAGGTCGGCAAATTATTATCGACCTCATTTTTCCTAATTCCGAGGGTTGATATATATATATATATATACATATATATATATATATATATATATATATATATATATATATATATATATATATATATATATATATATATATATATATATATATATATATATATATATATATATATATATAAAATAACATTTAAAATGAAGACAACTTTTCTTACTTCATTTAAAAACTTTTTACTTTTTAGAGACATGTGTCAACTACAAATAGTCATCAGTACATATAGTCATTAAATAAAATCATCATTAATACATAGAGTCATTAATAATAATCATCATTAATACATATAGTCATCATTAATATATATATATATATATATATATATATATATATATATATATATATATATATATATATATATATATATATATATATATATATATATATATATATATATATATATATATATATATATATATTATTATTATTATTATTATTAAAGCTTTAACTAATTATGACTAATAGTCAACACAAGTCTTAAAATAATAAAATGATTTTAAATAAAATAAGAAAAATTGTCTTAATTTTAAAAGTATTTACACATTTTGCATTGTGAAGAAATTTTAGAAATTACAAAAATGTAATACTTAAAAGAACAAATAACTTTACTTGGATTTCTTATCTAACTTTAATCTAGGCTGACTACTAGATTTAAACTTTAAATTCAAATCAACTTGATCATTATCTTTGCCATTTAGGTGTACCATCAACTTTTGTTTCAATGTTGCAATCTTTCTATGCTGCTATTTTCTATGTTTCTATAATGTTATGATTCATTACCATACATTATAATGCACTATCTGTTATTACATCTGTACAGTTTTCCTTTAGCCTTTAAAAACGTAGCTTTTAAAAAGTGAAATAATTTTCTAACCTTGATCCCAACTTATCACATTCTGTCTCTTGATGTTTACTCTTTACCAACCCCAGATTTGAGCAATCTTCTAAATAATAAAAAACTTACCAAAAAATTTTATCAAACAACCGCAACCTCCCTCTTTATTACTTTTCTCTTTTCATCTTGATATTCTGCTGCCCAACAAAATTAAATTTTTTTTTGTGGGATGTGGGGTAGGTGGATTTTAACATGCTTTACTCACAAATGCTCACAAATACCATTGTATATATATATATATATATATATATATATATATATATATATATATATATATTATTTTATATTATATTTATAATATAAAATAATATATATATATATATATATATATATATATATATTATTTTATACCACTACCGCATATATATATATATATATATATATATATATATATATATATATATATATATATATATATATATTATTTTATAACCACTACCGCATATATATATATATATATATATATATATATATATATATATATATATATATATATATATATATATATATATATATATATATATATATACTTGTTTCTCATCATGGCCTTGTTTGTTAAAGTTAATGTTTCGGAGTAATAGAGTTGAGAGAGGGTTATAACCAAAATTAAGTTGCCTTCTTATCTGTAGTGGCCTTCTTGGTTTTGGGAAGATGAATATATATATATATATATATATATATATATATATATATATATATATATATATATATATATATATATATATATATATATATATATATATATATAACGTTTTTCAAAAGTTTAACATTTTGAAAAACGTTACTAATGGTGATTATAGTGTTATTACTTTCGTAGTCATAAGTTTATTGTTTTCTTTTTGTTTTGTATAACTTTTTCGCTAAGTTAATTTGCCCATAAATACAAAGTTAATGGTCTTGCATAAACTTTGACTTTGAAGGTAATTTAATTATTTTTTCTTTTGTTTACGTTACTGCAAAGAATTATTAAGAATCTTTTTTTTTAACTTTTAAATGAGTGCATATATTAAACAATCATTAGATCTAAGTTTTTTATTTAAAAAGGGTTTTGCATAATATTATATTATAAAAACATATGTCAAGATAAATGATTCAAAGTTATTTATTCTAAACATAATTTGAATAATCTTACTGTTATAATTTATCATTTATTTTAGTTGAGTTTTAATTATAGTTTTTTTATTTTAGTTTTAGTTAAGTTATTTTTATTATATTTTTCGTTTTTTTTTTTTTACAAAAATTTACTTGCTTTTTTTATGATTTTTTCAGCACATTTTTAAAGTGTATACAAAATTTCAAAATATATTAACAGCTGTGGTCAAGTTTTCAAAACCAAATAGTATTTGTGTGGTCATATGATGACATGAAGAAATCGCACGCCATCCTGGCCAAGCCTGATTATTATTATTTTTTTTTTAAATTTGATGTCTAGTTGTGTATCTTAAATTTACTTTTGCACATGACAAATTTATTTGTGTATGATTATTTAGGTTATCATACCTGCTAGTATGACACATTGACAATATTGCTTTAACTTATAATGCATAATACAATAAGTATTACCAGTGTGTTAGCCAGCCCAATGGCACTACATATATTTTGTAGAACAATACCAATAAATAGATACAATATCGCTATTAATATAAAATTAAAGGTAATGCTTGGGTTTAACTTAACTGTCAAATATTCCAATTATATATTATTGCAGTAGTATCTTTGTTGTTAAACTTGTGCAACATTTGGAGTTGAAATTTTTTTTTTATGTGCAGATTCTTTTTGATTATTTTCTGGTAACAAAGTTGCACTATTAGAAATTTTATGCATATTTTCAATTTTACTTTTAAGTCTGCTGATTAGAAAGGCATCATTCTTTTTCAGCTGAATGAAGGTGAATCTATGGGAACTAATCTTTAAATTTTTTGAGTGGCATTATATACAAGATTCAATCTTGGGTAGTTGAAAGTTGATTTATTTGAAAAATGTAGAGAGCAACCTTTGGATTTTACACTCCAAAACTTTTTATTCTTTTCTCTATTTATGAGTAGTTTCCATATGTTTCATCTATTTTTTCCTTTGTTTATTGTTAAAAAAGGATATAACTTATAACAACCTTTACCTTATATTTCCTGTTAGCTACTTTTTTTCAACTTGCAATAATATATTTAACATATTAGCTGCTTTTTTTTAACTTGCAATAATATATATAATTTTATGAATTATTCGACTTTAGTTTTATTTGATTACTGCATTATGCTGAAAAAGAATTTTAACAAAAACAGCCATTCACAAGTACATTTCAGATCATTCTTACATTCACCATGCTCTTACAAATACCTTCATTTTATTTTAAATTATTTTAACAATTTATATTGACCATTAGTACACATTTTCACAGTGTTGATTTGTTTACTTCCCAAAAAGTGTTAACTTTGAGAACTAAAAATATTGTGTATGTCAATTATCCAATTAAGAACACACGATTCTCTAAACATTTCTATTTTCTATTGAAATTTTGTCAAGGTGCCAAAAATAAATTAGCCAAGGGTGTCAAAAATTTAGTTACTTTTCTATATTATTGATATGAATTTTGATATGAACAAAAAAGTAAATAAGATTGGATGGTGAAAAGTATTTAATTTATTCTGTTAATGTCAGGCACTTCAACATTTGGCCTTTTACTGAATGAAAAAGTGCCTAAAATTTAGCTATCGAGATTTGCGTTTTGAGCAAACCATATGTTTTTCAGAAACAGACTATACTGTTAATTTTTTACCAATCAAATTAAAACTTGGCAATGAAGTAGAGTCTAAATCGACTGACATTTTGGTACTATTTTTGTAGAACTTTGACAAAGAAAACTTGCTTAAATTTTGTTTTGAAAACTTCTAATTTTTTTTTGACTTTGCAGTAATAAGGCAAGAGAAAATGTTTTTGAAATCTGTTCAATCAGTTAGTTTATCCATTTACCTACATTTCTACCAAATATATTTTTTAAATCAAACAGACCAATCATTTGTAATACAGCGTACACGACAGCATGGTCGCGTCATATAACAAACATGGTTAATTGTCATATAACATCATTGTTTTGATTTTTTTTCGGTCACAAAAATTTATTTACTTTAATGTTACTTTTTTTATCCTTAAAATATACATTACAACATTTATAACTTTTGAACCTCTCCACCTAGAATGATGAATTTGGTATCATTTTAAAGAGCTTTTTAAGCTATATTTCATGACACACATTATATATACTTTTAAATATAACAATTTCTAAAAATTTATTAAAGTGACTATTAATGTTAGAGATATAATACTTTCAGAACTGAATCCTTATTTCCTTAATATTTTCAATCAGAATTTTTTAAGAAACCTTAAACCTTTCTCTTTAATTAATTGATAGCAATTTATTAAAAAAAAAAATTTAAACTACTTTTTACTACTGAAAAAAAATTATGAATAAGAAGTAGTTTAAACAAGAAAGAAAGCTACAAAAATCCAATAAATATAAAATATAAATTTAAAAAATAACAGTTTGCAACTATGTTCCGACAAAGTAATGTGTTTTGTTAACAAAATATAAACTTTTTATGAGAACTATTCTGGATAAAGTTATTTTAGCAACTTTCTTTTTTACTTTAAGATACCAAGTGTAAGATCTAATTTTAAAATTTCTTTGTTTTTCTTACTTGATTCTTTTTTTTTGTTGCATAGGGCTAATGCATAGCTTATGATAAGCTTTAGAAATTTCTTCATCTTTTTTATAAATACTATAACAATATTTATAGAAAAGAGAAAGAGATGCCCTAATTTTTTCAGTTATCCCATGAAAACTAACTGACTTTTCCAGGTATTTCCTGATTTTCTAAGTTTTTAAAACTTTTCCCTGGTTTTCCATGAAGTGACGTGAACCCTGGATTATGCTATTTAGACCAAAGTAAAATTAAGTATAAAGCAAAAATAAAAATTGTAAAATTAAAAAGTAAAACAAATCTAAAATTCAATATCAAAACCAGTTTACAAATTTTATATTTGACAATTTGTAATCGTAAGTATTTGTAATAAAGATTTATATCAAATCATTTGTTGGTTTAGTTATTACCTTTTTTGACTATGATAAATTTTAACACTATTAAATGTTTTTAAAAAACATTTTTTTTATGCTGTAATAGTTTTTACGGTTACTATGGGTGGTACATTAAACTTTGTTAAAAATGCTATTCTGAATGAGAGGAAAACTTTATAACAACAACACATCCTAAACTTGGCACTTACCTCTTGAACAGTAGACGAAAGACCGCATACACACGCTTTATGTTCCATAAAATCCCATTAACTAGATACCACAGCTGCTCTAAAAAAACAAAACTTGAAACTTTTGAATAACGATATTGCGAATAAAAATATTAGGTTTACATCTTCGATTTAATAGATTTCTTCGAATATTACGTTTGGCAGAAAACTACGAATATTACGTTTGGCAGACAACTACAACTTTTATTTTTTACCCAAATTGATAAATAAAAGACCAGAGTGAAAATAATTAATTGATGAATCGTTGATTTCGATGATTTGTCGTTGTTTTGAACAGATTTTAACTTATTTTTTTATATTAGGAGAATAGCAAATAAATCGTTTTTTCATTTTTTTTTTATTGTCTAAATAAAATATCTATGTAATTGTTTTTTGTTTGTTTATGTATTTTTATACATCGACTAAAATAAGAGTACCTAAACAAATAAAAAAGCAATAATATAAATAATCTTAATTTAACATTAAAAAAAGTTAAATGATTTTTTCTAAATTCTCCTTATATAAAAAATTTCAGCCTTGTTAAACCAACGCGACAAAGTATAAAAAAGATTATTTAAAGAGAATTTGATACTGAAAAAACTGTCCATTCCGATCCTGATTTTCACTTTTTTTATAAGGAAATTCCCTATATAAGGGTATTATGCGGATATGGCTCAATTGTGTTCGAGCTAATAGTACATTAAAAATAAAATTATCTATGTATAAAATTAAAAAAAAAAAAATTTTTTTAATGTAATATTAAGTTCATAACACAATCGCAGATCCAGCATTTTTTGATGTTGGGTATAACTTCTAGACATGATTGGAACTTCAAACTTTTATATGTTTATACTTAAGTAAAATAAAGATGCTTTGCAAAAAAGTTAAAATGATTGGAAACAAAAAAGTCCTTAAATTTTAACTACACTTGGTCTAAACGTAAGAGCAACAGGTTGATTAAATTTTTTTTTTTTAACAATTCTTAACTAAATTAACTTTTAAGGCAGGTATAGCTAAAATTAAATGGTCTTCTTGTTCCTAGGCTTCAACAATCGGAATTTTTTGAAAAATATCCTCATTTGACATAACTATAAACATATAAATATTTGGAGTTTGCTTTATGCCTGGAAGTTAGTTCAAACATCAAAAAATGCTGCATCCACGCCTAAAAGTATTTAGTTAGATGAATCAAGAAAACAAGCAGAAGGAAACAAATTCCAAAGAATTTATGTTAGAGGAAAAAAAGCTAGACGAATAAAAATTTTTTGGAGCACTTAGGAACAGTCACAGAAAAAGGACAAGACTTAATTGAATGACGAGAACACGAGAATGAATTTTAGTTGATGGCACAAGAAATGTTGTTTCTCTTTATCTTTTCACGCATGTAGAAAAGAGTAAGATTTATATCTAGAAGATGAAGGGTAAATGGCTCATCGAGTACATTACCGTTCAAGTTATTCTGATAATGATTGGATGAAAAAATGTGGGTTTTATCTGAATTAAAGTTTACCAGCCAGTTTAAATGTTATCATTACAACAAAACCAACAGATACCGAAGATATACTTTAAATGTCAATATTATTTAAAATGTAACTTTAGATGTAATTGCAATTATTGATTTACTAGATTTGGTTGAGATAAAAGATACAACTTATAGAGTTAGTAAAAAGAAAATGATTGAAAAAGTTTTGAAAAAAGTCAATTAACTTACCAACAAGCTAAAAAGTGATCCTAAGTATCCAGAGCTTATCCCAATTTGTTGAATAAATCAAAATCAGATGCTGCATTAAACACAAACTTCATTAGATTTTTGCAAGATAGTTCCTGAAGTCAAATCTCCTTAACTAAAAAAAATTAGAATAAGCCTCATTTAAATTTTTAGTTCAGCATGAATCTTTATTTTGCTCTATGAAATTAGGTAAATCAGTATTATTCAAAGTATTATGAATTTTTGTTAGAGTTAATTAGAACAAACAACTACAAGGTTAAAAACAGATTTTAGGTAAATTATGAGTGCATATTAGATTTTTTAAAATCTAATATGCTCTAAAGATTTGAAGGTTTTTTTAGGTAAAGATGTTTGCACAAAAATCTTTTGCAAAATAACTAAATATCATAAAAAATTATATCTCTTAAAATAACTGATTCTTTGTTCAATAATCAATTAGCTAGTTTTAATATATGCGGCCGGTTTGAGCGCTTGCTTTATAAGCAGGAGATCCAGGTTCGAAACGAGCCTTGGACATATTTTCGCGTCGCGGTAAGGAAGGAGGCGTGTACTTCTTTGTTAAATGCACTTCCGCGGTGCTTTTTGACAATACCGTTAGGTCTTCTTGGGGCACCTAAATAACAATAAAAAAAAAAAATACTCAAGTAATAATTGAGATTGGACACCTAAAAATACAGATCTTTCTAAGTCTATTCCAAACCGAACATTTTTATACTTTTTCTTTATATATCCTAGCTTTCCGCATCCATAAAATACATGTCTTTACCAAACCTAGCTTTTCTATACATACTTATTCCACAACGATTATTTCTATACCTATTCCTTATTTACTTCAACATCTTTTAATAAAATAATTTTATTGTAAAAAAAATTTAAAAAGCAAAAAAGTTAAGATGCGAATCTTTTCCGCATACGTAGAGCTTACAAGCGACTTACAACAAGGTTTGTTTTTTCTGCTAATTGATAGCTCAATGGTTAGGTGCGCTGCACAGTGACTCAGCATAATCAAAAAATGGCAAAAATTAAATATTATAAATATAAATTGACATAAATCGTAAATAAATAATGTTATAAATTAAAATAATAATTTTTAAGTCAAAGATTTCAAATTTGTTAATAATTTTTTTTTAACGCGCAGCTTCGACGCGTAAAATGCGCGCTTACGCGTGTTAAAGGTAAGTATACGCGTACGAAATATTTTTTTTTAGTTTTTAGAATCTTCAAGACAAACACATAATTTTGATATATTACTCTACTTGATATTTTTATAAAAATGGTTTTTAAAGGATGTTGATACATAGAGAAAAAATACTGTACTTTTTTATATTAAATTTATTATTTACATTACAATTAATTTAAAAACTTCATCTGGTAACGGTTTTCCTCGATAGCTCTTATGTTTTCTAAAAGATATGCTTGATATTTTTGGATCTGATCTTACTAAAAGGTAGTGTATCTGATTCATCATTGTGTTTAACCTTGATATTTTTGCCGTGTGCTTAAGCCTAGAATTTCTTATCTGTTTATTTAAACTCTCTAGTGCATCTTCCGAATATACCCCGATTGGCAAAAGTAATTTATTTGATATAGAAGAACTATGCAGTAGCAGTTTATGTACAGTAGGAGGCATAACATACCAGTTGTATAAACTCACTATACGTTTAGCTGTTTCAGTGCAGTATAAATCTAATTCATTGATATTAATAGGATATCCACAAGATATGGTTATGATAATAATATGCAATCTTTTAACTATATCAAAATCAACTTTAGTAGTTTCAGAAAAAACTTCACTATTTTTAAATGCTCTTCTGGCAGTGTTGCCGTCATTCGTGTTTCCAGACCCAGTTTTAGGCATATCAACGTATAGGCTTAACCGTTCTCTGAAGAGTACCTGAATCTCTTTTTTTTTTTAAGTCTACAGATAGTTTTTCCTCGATTATTTTTGGCTTATACTTTTTAATTTCAGTTTTATAACTCAAATGAAGAATGAACTCCAAGCATTTTATCCAGCAATGCAAGGCTGAAATTCCGAGCCCCAAGGCTCATTCTCAGTTTTTGCTTTTAATAAATCAATATTGTTCATTTCCTTGGGTTTAGCATTGCACACATTGCAGGATTGAGTGGATTTTGTCTCTGTAAGTGCGCTAACTACTTTATTATAAAACATTGTAAGATCAATCCTATAGCTGATATTAAATGTCAAAATTCTTCCTGCAATAATAAAAACTTTGCAAAACGTCTATAAGGTATTTTTTTGATTTTTTAGATCTGATTCTTCTTCTCTGGATAAAATTAGACTCTTTTTTTTATATTGTAGATGAAAAGGTCTACAAAAGTGACAGCTTGAAGGATTTTCATTTTTCCAAATTTCGCCATCTCCTACTTTGAGCAATAAAGGCACAAAAGCTGTACTGAAAAGATTTTCTTCATGCTTAAGTTCTATACTTGCGTTGCTTGTATCGTATTTCTATTTATAAATACTTTGGCTTGATGCTCCATCAAAATCAATCTTTCCATATAAAACTCCAAATATTTCATCATTTTGACCAAAATTAGGCATATCAATCATTTCTGTTATTCTACTCACAGTGTGATCTAACATTCTTTGAAGAGTACACTTTGCAGAAATTTCAGAAAAATGTATATTCTCAGGATAGCATTTCAATTTTTCCACGAAAATATCGTGCAAGGTAGAATAAATATGTACGTTGTGTACAAGAGCTTAGTTTCTGATCATTTGATATTGTTTATTGCTGAGATCAGTATTCATTTTTAATACAAGAGCATCCTCTACACTCATGTTAATGGGAAAGGTTTTATCCAAAGTTTTATCAACTTTTTCTATCTCTAAAACATTAGATATATATTTTTTTAAAACAGAGGCTTTTTTTTTTCTCCAGCAGCATTTGCACTTTTTGCAGAAGCTAAAAATAGAGCTTCATGATGTTCAGTGGCTAGTTCTTTTATTTTTTTTCCTTTGCTTCTCTCTCCAAGAACACTTCATTGTTTATGGGGCCTTCCAGAACCAAAATGGCTATTTTTATTGTTCATAAGATTTCTTTGAAGCCAACGATTTTCTTTTTGTATAAATGTATCATAGTTTTGTCCACATTGTTTTAGTTTTTCTTTACCTTTGAAATAAATATAACTAAAGCAAGCTTAACTTTATTTAAGTTTTCTTTGCGAATTTTTTCAGCATTTTTTATTTCATTAAGTAAATCCTTCCATAATTTTAATGTATCAACTCCTAACTCACGTATATTTGGGATAAGATCTAATCTTTTCATTGTTATTGTTTTAAGAACCATCAATATAATAAAACTAATATATTAGGCACATTTTAAATTACATTACATATTTTTTTACTTTACTGTTTCAAGTTTTATCTTGTTATGACTTTTAACAATTTTCACATTGTTAAATCCTGTAATAACACATATTACTTAGTTAACTTTATACTACATGTAATATAAAGTTAACTTAGTAATATGTGTTATTACAGGATGTAACAGTTTGGTATTTCTTGAAACGGTAAATATCAAAGTTGTTCAATTAAGCTTTTTCAAACATGTTGTACTTATCGAATAATAAATCGTTCTTTAAAATTGTCAATAAATATTTTAACAAACTTTTAAATAGGATATAATGACAAAAGCACGTTTTTTAAAACTATATTTAATATTTATGATTTAAAAACTATATTAGAACAAGTTCTACAAGCAAAAAACTTGAGTTTCCCGCCAATTTCTTTTGTTTTGATATAATAAAGTTCTTAGCAAAATGGCGGAAAACAAGGTTTTTATAAAATCATCAACATTTGTTTTTCTTTAATAACTTATAATACCGCAGGAGACCGCAGTAATCCTTTTACATTCCTAAAGTAGAAATGTTAATTGACTGGAATATATATATATATATATATATATATATATATATATATATTATATATATATATATATATATATATATATATATATATATATATATATATATATATATATATATATATATATATATATATATATATATATATATATATATATATATATATATATATATATATATATATATATATATATATATATTTGTGGAAGTCGGTGGAACATTTTTTTAGCTAATATATAAACAAAAAAAATACAATTATTTTCTACTTTTTTTTAGAGAAGTCTTTAAATTTAAACGAAAAAATCAGACTTTTTTTTTTCTTTTTAGTATATTTGAAATATATAGAGTCAAAATATTATTTTAAAAATAAATATACACTTTTATTTAAACTTCAAGTTCTCGAATTTAGTTGAATAAAAACCTCACATTTTTCAGATTTCTTTAAAAATAATATCACTTCTCTTACCTATAAAATACAAAATAAAAGATTTATGAATAAATTATTTTTACTTTTGAAATAAAAAATCATTGTCTTTTAATATTATCTAACAAAGGGCACTTAATTTATAAAAAAGTGGTGAGGGGTTTATTGCCATTTTGTTGTTGTTTTGAGTCACTGTGCGCTGTCGTCAGTGTTGTTTTGGGGTGTTTAAGACCTCCTTATTCGTAATAAGTTTTGAAATTTTTTTAATCTTGCGTATATATATTTATGGCCAAAAACAATAATATAGCAAAAAAGATTTCTAAAAATTAAAATAAAATTTTAAAGTTTACTCATTTTATAAATATTTTATATGCGATTATTCCATAAAATGTCTGCAAACTCAACATATGCTAACGACGCTTACACTTAAAGACGTTTGTACTAGGGTTGTTAACCGGAGGATTTCGTGCAATTCTGGAAAAACAACATTCTTTCGTAAGGAGATTGAGAACGAGAAATTACATTTTTTCGTACCGAATGTTACAAAACATTTAAAATCGCCGATGTTCATTTCGCAAAAACTACTTCCGAAATTTAGCATTTCGCAAGTTGACATACGCAACAAAACTATTTTGCAACATACGAAAGTAGCGGTTTCGGAAGTCGCACTTGCGAAACAAACATTTTCGCCAAACGACGTTTTGAAGTCTATAAAGAAAATTTGTTTGCCAGACTGATTTTAATTGTAAAAATTAACATCTTTAAATCCCAAAATGTTTATAATGAATTTTTATTTTCAGTATAAAAACATATTAAATTTTTATGGTTTTATTTTTAGAAATATTGATAAAAAACAAAATTTCTTTCGAAACGAAAGTATTTTGCATCACAACATACGAAAGAGTTCTTAACGGAAATAAACTTACGAAACGTGCCATAATAAATATATATAACGATGTTTTTTGAACTCATTACGTGTAGTTAAAATAAGAATGAAATAAATTATGATGAAATGTACGTAAAACAACTTTTTCAAATAATATAAATCATTTTGCTTTAAATCTTGTGCTTTTTGTACTAGACATCTGTCCTAAACACTTTGTAATAATTTTTAGCTAACTTTGAGTCTATTATAATCATTTCTGAATATAATTTCCTTGAGGCTCCTACAGCCTATTGTGTTCCATTAAAAGTAACTAGTTTTCAAGTCCAGTTATGATTTATAAGCAACTAAAGGTTCACATTACTATTCATTTTCCTGATTTATAGAATCCTATTTGCATACGTATCTCTTTCTGTAAATTCTGTTTTATATAGTTTCTTAACTATATAATAAATAAATATTACTATTCACTTAGTTGAATAAACGTATAGTTCATTCAGTTAAGAATAAAATTTAGCCGCGGAGACCGAGGTTCACATCCCGCTGTATCACATATATTTCTTCTCTTTTTACTCTTTCTTGATATCATTTACCTTTAGAGAGATCTCTCGTTCTTTATAATAAAGTATTTAATTGTTTATCACACATCCTCTTTAAACTTTCTAAAAAGAAAGGCATACTATTTATCTGTTCATTGAGAGTCCAACTTAACGGTATATATATGTATATATATATATATATATATATATATATATATATATATATATATATATATATATATATATATATATATATATATATATATATATATATATATATATATATTAGGTATATTTGTATAAACATTTAAAGAATCATTTGAATTGAACATTTTTTTATAATTTTATTATTTATTATTTAAACTGTTAACACTTAATATCTTAAATATATCGTAACATAAAATCCTTTGCGTCTTTTTCGTAACTGCACATTCCGGAATGCTCCTTCCGTAAGGAACTATTTCGTAAGTATTCTTACGAAATGATTTGTTTCGCAAGTTTTCTTTCGCAATGCTTTATTACGGAATTATATTTATTTATATTTTCGTATAGTGCGTTACGGAATTTGCATTTTCGCATGTGCAACTTCCGCAATAACAATTCTATTACGGTCGATAAAGATGCGAAATTTTCGCAAGTTTTATTTTTCGGCGAACAACCCTAGTCATAAAAAAAGTCCAATTTTATGATTATGATTAACTAAAGAATAATATTAAACGCTAATCTATAAGTTAGGCGAAAATAAACATTTATGCGTCAAGTTTCTTTTCATTTATCTTACATTTTTTGACTAATTTTAAGTTTGTTGCATACAAATACATAAAAAATTTAAAAAACTGATACAGATATATCATTTCACGGATAAGAGATTGTATTTATTACAATAGTAATATATAAATAGTTTTTGCTTATTAGAATATATCCCATAAAAATATATTCCATATATCTTTAATAGAAAAAGTTTTTTTTAAAAATTCAAATAAAACTTTTTTTCTAGTAGGGTTAGGACTATTGTAATAGTAATAAAAACATTAACAGAAACAATAACTATTGTTATTATATTAACTTTTTTAGAAACAATAACAATACTTGCGATTTAAAATTATTTTAATACTGTAATACAATAACAATAAATATTGTTTTGCAATTCATCTTTATAATACAACTAGCAGTAATCAACCCGTAATACGCGTTGTTAGTAAATAAAATTAAAAAAAAAACCGCGTATAGAAAAGCCTAGAAACTACTTTAAAATAGAAAAGCCTAGAAAATGACGTAACTCGACTAGCGTATTCATATTATCAGATAACAATATCCGAAAAAAAAAAGTATTGTAATGACCAACTACAATAACAATATATATATTGTATTGTAATTCGTCAATATATACATATAACAATATATATTGTATTGTAATTCGTCTTTATAATACAATAGCAGTTTATTGTTATTGTAATAAAAAGAAATTATTTTAGTGTCAAAATTTAATAAATGTTTTAACAGTCCAGTCTCCGAGGTATGTGACCTTGAAATAGGGTACAACTAATATATAATTATTGATTCTATTTCTATTTTATTTGCTGAATATCACTTGTCCTCGTTGCAAACTTTATATAGCTTTATAAAAGTGAGTTTGATCTGACCTGTACTTCTTTTACAACTGGGGATAGACATGATCAATTACTACCATTTTTTCCACTAAATTATTTACTTTTACATTAGGCACCTATCCTATTGTTTCGAAACTTACTCAACTAACACTTACTCTAATATAACTTTGTCTTTAGTTTCCCTTTTATGGTTGTATTTGTTTCATAAAGTAACTTGACACCTAGTTGCAAAGTTATACAAGATTTTGTTACATAAATCAAGAACAATATTTATTTGGTATTCTAAATTGCCTCATTTTTTCAAAAATAGTTCCCACAAAATTTACTGGTACGTCTGATAAGTGATGAACAACCTGAGAATGTAAACATTTTTTTACCAAAACAAAAGTAGTTCACATTTTTAGACTATCTAATCAATAATCACCCAGGTCAATGGTTCTCTGATTCCATAACGTTGTAATTTATTACTCATTAGCGGTTAATTATATATATAAAAAAAAACTTATTTTCACGCGCCTTATGTAGTTAATCAATTAGTTTAGACGTCATCATCCGGTGAAACATTTCAATATCAGTTTAGACAAAATTATAAAAAAATAAAAAATTTCACTTCACAAAGTAAATAAATATTTAATTACAAGCATATACTAAATTATATATTTGTATGATTTTGAATGAATATTACTAATGTTAATTCTTATAAAAAATATATTATTATTTAAACAGTTATATTATTGAACTCAAAACGGATGCCACGAGCGCCCCTGAACTTAATATTTATTAAGTATACGTAATATATATACTTCTTTGGCTATCTTAGCTTGATTTCACTTCTCAAAATAAGTAATATTTATACATATTAATGACTGCTAAAAACGGGCGTCACGGGCACCTCTGAATATTGTAGTGTCCAAATAACAATAAATGCGCGTAAAAAGAATCAAAACACAATAGCTATTGGACTTTGAAATAGTAATATAATACATCACAGTCCTTATTGTAATTGTTTTTTATCCCAGCAATACAATACAATAGCTATTGTAATTGTTTTACATCACAGCAATACAATAGTTTTAGAGCTTCATTGCTCTTATATTTTGTTAGAGAAAAAAACAATACAATAGCTATTGTAACTGTTTTTATTCACAGCAATACAATTACCATAAATAATGTTTTAATTGCATCTCTGGTATTACAATACAATATTATTGTATTGTAATGTGTTATTGTATTTAATTTTTACAATAACAATTACAATAGTGCGAACCCTATTTTCTAGTTTTTTGCCACAAAGTGACGTCACATATGCAATAAAAAAAATTGTAGCTACGAAAAGACCTCGATTATCATTTTTAATGGTCTAAGAATCAGATGACCTAAATTTAGCATCAAGAGTAAGACAAATCTAAAATTGAAATTTTAAATTTTCCACTTGGATGAGACAATATTTTTTGAGCTTTTTCAATCTTGTCAATTTTTTAAAATATAATAACATACCTACAAAAAATCAAAACATAACAGCTTGAGCAAAAAACACTTGTTATTGTTAGAAAAGTTTGCTTATATTACATACAATCCTGAATAAAGCGTTATATAGGTTAGTTAAAGTTAGTAAAAACACTTGTTTAATTTTTATGCTCAACAGCATGTTTCACCATCATTAGGTTCATCAGAAAACGATATATATATATATATATATATATATATATATATATATATATATATATATATATATATATATATATATATATATATATATATATATATATATATATTGTTTATATAGGGATGGTTAAGCGCAACAAAGTTTTAAAAAAAATTATTTTATATTAAAATTAAAAGATAATTTATGTTTCTTTGGAAACATTAAAACTGCAATTACTTTTAATTTTTTGGTTTAGTGACTTTTGTTAAGAGCTTTTAAATTTGCGTCAAATTATCTCATTTCTTTTTGCCATGCAAGATGAAGCATTTTCATTGCATCTAAAATTGAGAAAACAGGAAGATCTTTTTTTTTATCAATTTCTACGACCAGCCTTTGTAATGCCAAAGATCTGTAATAAACTTTCAAAGAGCGTATAACTCCCTGATCCATTGGTTGAAGTTTAGATGTGGTGTTCTGTGGTAAAAAAATAGGCTTAATAGATTTTAGATTATCAACCGTCGGGTGTGCTGGGCAGTTATCTATTATGAACGCTATTTTCTTCTTTTCTTTTGTAAACTTTGTATCCATTTCTCGTATCCACTCTTTAAACAGTACGCTATCCATCCAGCTTTTATTTTGATTTCTGTATCTGCAAGGTAATTGCTTAATTCCTTTGAAGCAGCGAGGTGATTTTGATTTTCCTAATACAAACATAGGAATTTTATCACCCGCTGCACATGCTGCGACCATTCCTGTAAAACGAATTTTACTGTGCTTTTCCCCTATACATGTCTCAGATTGAAGATTAAGTGACTTATTAGGTTGCATACAAAAAAACAATCCAAATTCATCTGCATTATAAATTTCATCAAGTTTATACCTGGATAAAATTGTGGGGATAGTTGTTTCCTTCCTTTGTGTGGTCATTTCAGATGTACAAGAGTTACCCTCTCCACATACCGTCTTGAAAGAAACATTATATCTATTTTTCCAAGGATCAAGCCAACCATCAGACGCTTGAAATCCATTTATATTAATTTTTTCATCAAGTTCTCTGGCTTTTGTTTTAAGAATTGTTGCTGATATTGTCACATTTCTGCTCCTTACATTTAAAAGACATTTAAAAACAAGATTATCTAAATTTGAAAATGTGCTTTCTTTAATTCTCATTAGTTTACAGTTGTTCCCTTGCGTCTTCATACATTCAAAAAAGTTTTCTTTATTTTTGATCCATGTCAATAGCGTATTTTTTGGAATGCCATACTTTATAGCAACCTGAGACTTTGACAATCCTTCTCCAATTTCCCTTAAAGCAACGTACTTTTCTTTAATTGATTTTGTATTAATTTTTCTCTTTTCAGCGATCAGGGCCGTATTAAGGCGGGGGCGGATGGGGCTGCAGCCCCAGGCCCTTATAAAAAAAATAGGCCCTAAGGCCCGTGACTTTTTTTTTTTTTTTACTTTTTTTTTTTTTTTTAGGGAACCAGATAAATATTCCTATGTTTCTCAGTTTTTTTAAATCAATTTATTGGGAGCTGCGGAGGCGTTGTGAATAAATAAATGAATAGAGATATAGTTTCATTTTTAGTTATAAATGAATTTTTTTTATATAATGAATTCATTATAAAGAATTCATTATAAAGAATTCATTATAAAGAATTCATTATAAAGAATTCATTATAAAGAATTCATTATAAAGAATTCATTATAAAGAATTCATTATAAAGAATTCATTATAAAGAATTCATTATAAAGAATTCATAATTAAGAATTCATTATAAAGAATTCATTATAAGAATTTATATGAATTCATTATAAAGAATTTATAATGAATTTTTTATAATGAATTTTTTATAAAGAATTTTTTATAATGAAATTTTTTTTTAAATGAATTTTTTTTATAATGAATTTATTATAAATTTTTTTTTTATAAATGAATTTCATTTTTAGTAAATAAATGAATAGAGATTAAGTTTCATTTTTTATTTTATGATCACTTCCGTTACCGCAGAAAATTACAGCATTGCTCATTCGTTTACAAAATTAAAATAAAAAATGAAAAGGAGCGGCCTGAGCGGTTGGGACAAAATGCAAAAAAAGAAGAAGAATGAGATTCAATTAAATGAATTATTGAACAAAAATAAAAAAGTTTTGTAATACTGCAAGTAGTGTCTCGGTATCAGCTACAGCGAGAGCGAGTTCAAATTCACTATGTCAATAATGTCAGCACCAGTTCCAGGTAGTGCTAATAGTGTCCCTGCAGACTCAGCTACAGCGAGTTCAAACTCATTTATGTCAGCACCAGTTCCAGATAGTTCAGCGAGTTCAAACTCATTTATGTCAGCACCAGTTCCAGATAGTTCAGCGAGTTTAAACTCATTTATGTCAGCACCAGTTCCAGGTAGTTCAGCGAGTTCAAACTCACTAACTATGTCAGCACCAGTTCCAGGTAATTCTAATAGTGTCTCAACAGACTCAACTACAGCAAGTTCAAGCGTCTCAACTATCTCAGCAGTGTTACCCCTGGCTCTGACGACCCACACTGTCAACACCGATGTGGCTAAGTGGATTATAACCGACGACCTGCGTGAGTATTTCAGCAAAAGTGCAGATGGGTTTTTATCATGCCAACATATGGATAGCAATTTTAAATTATCTACTAAAGTACTGCCTGGTGACACTTTTAAGTTTAAACGACAGTGTACAAAGTCCCTTTTTTTTCCGGGGAAAAGTGAATGGTGAGAAAATTAAGAGAGACTGGATTTGCTATTCCCCATCAACTCGTAAGGTTTTCTGCGCCCATTGTAAATTATTTAATTCAAAATGTGGAATTGGAGCATCTGCTTTGATGTCATCAGAATATGATGATTGGAAACACGCTGCAAGAGACTTAGCTCGCCATGAAACAAGTGAAACCCTCATTCAATCAATTGAAACCCTTTTAACACGTAGGAAAGCTGGAGAGCACATTAGTAAGAGGCTCACAGAGCAATTTGAATCAGAGAAAAAGTACTGGAATGACATACTGTTGCGTATTCTTACAGTAATCAAAATGTTAGCATCGCGTGGGTTGTCATTCCGTGGCAGTAACGAAATTGTGGGTTCTGTCCACAATGGCAATTATTTAGGTTGCTTATAGCTAGTGGCTGAGTTTGACCCATTGCTTGCAGAACATATTCAGAAAAGAGCGAACAAAGGCCGAGGTCATGTGTCATATCTGTCATCAACTATATGTGATGAATTTATTCATGTGTTAAGTCGTGACGTTTTGGACCACATTTTAACTGAAATTAAAGAAGCAAAATACTTTGCAGTTAGTGTTGACTCAACACCAGATATTTCACATGTAGATCAGCTTACCATTATATTCCGTTACATGACTTCTAAACAACCAGTTGAACGTTTTGTGACATTTATCCCTATAGAAGAGCACACTGGGGAAGGATTAGCAACAAAGTTACTTGATTTTATGGAAAATACTGGCATTTCAATTAAAGACTGCCGAGGTCAATCCTACGATAATGCTGCCAACATGAGTGGCCGTTTCAATGGCATGCAAGCAAAAATAAAAGAACATAATAACTTAGCTGAATACACACCATGTTGTGCTCATTCGCTTAACCTTGTTGGTCAATGTGCTGTAGGATGTTGTTCTGAGGCTGTAACGTTTTTTGACTTTGTAAATAAGCTGTTTGTATTTTTTTCTGCCTCCACCTCTCGTTGGAATCGTTTGATGGCAGTTTTAAAGCCACTTAATATGCCTACCTTAAAAAAGTTATCTGATACCAGATGGTCAGCACATTATGATGCTGTACACTCCCTCCAGGTTGGCTATACGCAAGTGAAGTCTACACTGGATATTATGTGTCAAGATATGTCTCAAAAGCCAGAAACACGACTTGAATTTTTTCATTTAAATACCAATATTATTGGTATTTTCTTCCTTTATTGGAGGTGAACACATTATCAATTTGATACCCGTACTCCACTGTCTCAATAGTAAATATACCTACAGCTCAGCAGTTGCTTTCTTAAGTCATGATTCAAGACCTTTTGTCAGTTTACATATATATGGGTGTCTGGGCCAAAGGGGTGTAGCTGTACCTAACCAGTTGGTAAAAAATTATTAAAAAAATGCTCTAAAACATACCTAGATTGTGTCCTTTTATTAGCAAGATTTAAAAAAAAATTTCTGGGGGGCAGCTTCCCCCCTGACCCTCCTACTTGGAGGGTCTGGGGGCCCCCAAACCCCCCCGGCTGTAGGCCTCCGGCCCACTGACCCCCGGGTTTAGCCTCGCTAACGCTCGACATTTTTACCTTACTGCCACATTAGGCCCTGCTATACTTACAACCCCAGGCCTAAAAATTTCCTAATCCGGCCCTGTCAGCGATAGTAGCCATAATAAAATGTAAGCACAACAAATTTAATTATAATATTGATATTGATTATTGAAACGCACGTAAGTTTAACTTAAACAATAAACTTAATCAAACTATTATTGGTGAGCAAAAGATACTTTGACTCAAAATGAGGTTTTGATTTTTCAAAAAACGAAGACCAGATTTATTACTGATTTGGGGAGAAAAGTAGGAGAGTGCTGCTAAATTATCTAACCTATGGATAACATGCAAGGGAATACTGCTACGTCAACTGAGGGTTTGGGTTGGGGCAGGTATAGATCAATTAATGTAGCAGTACTCTCTTATATTTCTCCCCAAATCAAAAATATATCTGGTCTTCGTTTTTTTGAAAAATTAAAACCTCATTTTGAGTCATAGTATCTTTCGCTTACCACTATTATTATAGTTAACATTGCAACAATGCAAGAACTTCATTGCAGTTTTTTTTCATATTTTTGATTAACAAAGATATGAAAAAAAACTACAAACGTTAATGAATACATATTTTTAAAGAGTTCTAAAAAAATTCATAAAAATTATTTTTTTCAAAAAACGTTTTACAGAGAGTTTTTCTTTGCAATTTTTTTTTAATTACGTTTTCTTGAAATACGTAATAAGCATATTAAGGTGTTTTGAAAGACAGTTGCAGCATATATTTTCAGTAAAAAAGTAAATGTAGCAAATTAACTTTTAATTGTCAAAAAAAAGTTTTAAAGTTTTATCTAGCTACGGTTTTTTTTTTTATTTTTTGCCTCCACAGCAGCACCTTCTTGAGTAGCAGGACTTTCTTATTAAGTTTTTCCTTTTTTAAGTTTCAGACAACTTAATTTTCAAATCATCCGCAGCTTATTAGGACTAACTACCTGAGCACATTAATAACATAAGTATCTCAATCATGACACATACGCAACAACATTTTTTCTCCCGGTAATGTTTTTTTTTTTTTTTTTTTTGTTGATGTTTTATTAAATTTTTAGCTTTCTTAAAATCTTTTTGTTTGTAAAAGTGTATAATATCGTTACATATGTTTGTATATAATCTCTGTAAAACTTCAAAAGTATTTTTTATTTTAAAATAATCAAAAAAATAAAAAGTCGTTAGTGGTAGGAATCGAACTACGGCTCACTTGTTCAGAAGCTCGACTCGGCCACACTGGCACATTGTTATGCGATGATTTTAAAAACAATATAACAATTTTTTTAACTTAATTTTCGAATAAAATCAAACTGTAAAACTTGATGTTTCAGATTGTTTTAACATATGTTTTAACATTACTTGATTTAAAGTTTACGTACGTAAGATATTTGCATACACTTTCGTTCACGTTTTCTTATAAAACAAAGCTCCTGCAACTCTTTCTCGCCATTATCTCGGTTGCAATGGCTGCTTAGGGTACCGTGTCAAACAGGCTCGAAAGCCCACTACTATTAAGTCCAGTATTATTTTATAGATAAACATTAAAAATGGCGCATTAAAAGTTAAACGAAACGGCAAACAACAGCTTTTTTATAAACTTTATATTAAACAAATGGACTACTACAAGAATGAATGGAATCATGGTAGTATATATAGCTAATGAAACTTTATACTTTAGTAATAAAATAAAATCAGTTTTTTTGATTTTTCAAAAATTGTTTTAGTTGTCTTTTTAATCAAATGTCTTATTATGACTTGAAGAAAAGAGACTTAAACTAACACAGGGTTTTAAAATAAAGTGATTCTATTTAATTAGTTTTAACAAACCTTTTGCTGAATAATTCCTAATGGCT